AGACAGACAGACAGACAGGAAGAAAAAGAAAGAAAGAAAACAGCAGAAATAATAATGAGAACAATAATAGCCTGGGCTTCAAGAGACTTTGAGTTCCCACTCACGCTTCTAGAACCATGCCCAGCTTCCCCATGAACAAGCCCAGGATAGCATGTTAGGTGTTTGGAGGGCTCCTAGAGAACAAGTGAGCCACTTGAGGTCATGCCGGACAGCTAACTCCCAGTGCCTGGGACCAGTGGAGACCAGAGAACCTCCCAGCGGAGCCCATCCCAAAGGCCGGTCTGCAAAATCATAGGCTGCTAAAATTTGGGTTGGTACACCACCTAGCAAAACTAATGAGTGTAGGTCTTTAAACTTAAGTGTAAAGTCTTAGAATTGGTGACAACTTGGAAAAAACACAAATGATCCATCCACAGGAACAGCTAAGCAAACTCTCTAGTAACCACTAAAAAATGACAAATACCAGACTGGACTGAGGCAGGAAGATGTGAAGATATAGTCATATACAGCAGAGAATATGCTCTTTTTCGGAATCTATGGAACTTTGGAAAGCATTGAGTTCTCACTAAATGACAAAGCAAGTTTCAACCAAGATCAAAGAATCACTATCTTACAGGCTATATTATATTAATTCAATAGAATTAATAGAATTAATTCAATAGAACTAATATAATATTAATAAAATATAATATTTAACGATAATTTAGAAGTAAAGAAAATATATTTTGGTATATATTTCAAAATAAACAACAACAACAACATCATGAGACTGAGGAAGGAGGAACACCAGTTAGAGCTTAGCAATTAACAAGTTTGAGGTGGGCAATTTAGTGAGACACTGTCTCAAAATTTAAAAATGGTGAGGGGCCAGGGAGATGGCTTAGTGGAATAAGCACTTCCCTGACAAGCGCAAGGGCCTGAGTTCAATCCCCGGTTCCACAAATAAAATAAAATAAAATAATAATAAAGATGGTGAGACCCTGGGTTCAATCCTCAGTACCACCATCAGGCCATCAGGGAAGAAAAAAAAAAAAAGCAAGAGCAAAAACTCACACATACCCTCTAGTTTCCTTTCCCATCAGATCTGAACACTGGTCTTGCTGGCCATAAAGGAGGAAAAGGAATCCTGAAGCTGGCCTCACAGCCTTATGGTCTGATATGTTGCATGTGGGCTAGTTTCAAACAAGGTAAAAAAACAACAACAACAACAACAAAAAAAAAAAAAAACCAACAACCTCACACATGACAGGAAATAGAAAACAGCCCTAATGACAATGAAAGCACTTGTTTTTGCACTCTGGGAGGCTAGGCAGGAGGTTTAAATGTTAAAGCCCAGCCTGCACAACATAGTGACTTAGAGACCCTGTCTCAAAATTTAAAAGGAGAGGAAATCTGGGGATATATTGCAGTACAAAAGTCCTCAGTTCAATCTCTGGTAGCACTCCACAAGGAAACAAATAAAGTTACAAAAAGTAAAGTAAAATAAACTGGAGTAAAAGAACCCGAATAATTAGGACAAAGTGTAGCGTCTTCCGAGATGCCCCACCCAGCCCTATGAGAGTCTTGGTCTCAGCTGCGACTCACCTGAGTGTAGTGTGTGCAGGTGGCATTTTGGGCACACTCGGCTGCCTCGTGGCTGTACCACTGCCCCTCTGCAAACCAGAGGTTGATCACCTCAGGGAAGGACACGGAGCTTATGGGCAGCAGCTGCATGTTCCAGCCCATTTGTGGGGTGCGCCGTGGGGCAGATGCCAGGGCTGGGGCTGGCATGCCACAGAGGGCTGCCCTGGCTTGAGCCAGCTGAGCCAGGTTCTCACTCCAGTCCTGGGGTGGCACAGACAGACACAGAAAGACTTAGGGGGAAGGAGGAGGCTGCTGGGCAATGGCCCAGGTCCCTTGCTACTCGGAGCAAGTGTAACCTAGGGGGTCATGGTGAGAGGAGAGAGGGTGAGGAGTCCTGCTGGCTGCCCACTGCTCTGAGCTGCTTTCCCTCACTATGTGGGGCCAGGGAGGTCAGGTGGCACCCCAGGTATTCTCTCTCCAAACTTGGGAAAGCACAGGTGGGCCTCGTACCTGGCGCCTGACCCAGAGCCCTGCCCTGCCCAGGATCAAGCCACCATCTCCCTGAGGCCCACGTGGGCACCCTCAGGCCCTGCCAAAGAAACAGTGCCAATCAGGTGACAGGGTGGGCTTCTGCTGTCATTTTCTCTGGTAATGTAAGCCTTAGGTAGTACCTAAGCCTGGCAGGGGTGTGTGTGTGTGTGTGTGTGTGTGTGTGTGTGTGTGTGTTTGTTGCTAGAGATCAAACCCAGGGGTACTTTACCACTGAGCTACATCCCAAGCCCCTTTCCTTTCCTTTTTTGAGACAAGATCTTGCCAAATTGCCCAGGCAGGATTTGAACTTGAGATCCTCCTGCCTTTGCCTCCCAGAGTGCTGGGATTACAGGCATGTGCCAGTAGGCCTGGCTTGTTTTGCCCTTAGGTGAAGCTGGCCCTGGCCATTTCAGGAGCACTCTGCAGCTCCCACCTGGCTAAGCTTCCCTCCTGTGATGCAAACAGCCCCCGAAGCCCACTTCTCTTTTCCGGTTCTTCTAGGCCCTCTGCCCCCCTGGAGCACCTGGGGAGATTGGTTGGAGATGAGACGTCATCGTTCTCTGGGACCTCAACACTTAGGCCTAGTGAGCAGAGTGTTCTGGATTGGGCACCTGCTCTTCCCCACCACTTGCAACCATGAAACGGGGGGGGGGGGCTTTCTTCAATCATTATGCCATGGCCACCTGCTCCAGCGCAGCCATCTCATTCTGGCTCTGAGACCTCCAATGATCATGTAATATCCAGGAGAGAGCATTGTCTATAAAGAGGGGCAATAAAGTCGGGGAGATGGCTCAGTGGAATAAGCGCTTCCCTGGCAAGCGCAAGGGCCTGAGTTCAATCCCCAGTTCTGCCAAAAAAAAAAAGAAAGATGAGCAATAAAATGCCCACCGGATAGATGGCTACAAGGACTAAGTGAATGCCAGGAGCAAGGTGCTGGGCTCAGGCTGCCTGAGCAGATGTGCACTGGGCCTAGGGGAAGCAGAGGCAGGGGAGCAGGGCAGGGAAGGGGGCAGTGACTCCTCCGCGCTGCCCCACCCCCACCTCCTGGGAAACTGACCCCCAGCTCTCAAGGTCGCCACCCACAAGGCTGTCAGCCTCTGAGGAGTTTATGGGAAGCAGCCATGGGGAACCCTGCCTCCCCTTTTTCTCCCATTCACGTTCCCTGGCCTGTTGAGGGGGCTGGGACTGCAGGAGTAGCAGGCTGGGGGCAGCATTTCTGAGCCCCAGGGTGACAGACCCGCCCCTCAGCCTCCATCCATGTCCATCCTGGCTGTGGAGAGCCTTTTGCCCCCATCTCAGCTCCTGTTCCTGCCATGGAATGTGGGTAAATGAAGGAGCAAGCTCTGGCTCACACACAGCCCTCCCCGCAGCTGCAGCCCCCAGCCCAACAGGGTGCATCTTCCGCCAGCTCCTCACCCTCCCTTTCTACTGAACTCCTTTGTACAGCTCCTCTTCCCCAAGAAGAGGATCCCCCACCCTTCCATGGCTTCTGGTTTCCATGGCAATGGGATGCCAGGGAAGGCCCAAGGTCTGTGTTCTTCACACAGCTGCAAGGCAGGAGGGGCCTGGCTTCCTAGTCAGAGATCCTCCTGGGAAGGAGGAAGCCGCAGAGACCCCAGCAACCAGGGCTTCAGTCCCCCAGGGACCAGCGTGACTGGCTGTGCCCACCCTGCCAGGCAGAAGGACCCCTGACATTCTCAAGGCCCCTGACTCCCCTGGGGGTATCTGACCCTCCCTCTAGCTGCCTGTCCTTTCTGCAGAGCAGCACCAGGGCACTCACCATTCTTCGCATGTTGGCCGCTGGGGGCTGTACCCGGCTGCGCAGGCGGTTGTGCAGGGACAGTAGCAAGAAACTCTCCTTTCTGCTCAGGGCTGGGGGCCAGGAGAGAAGGTCAGGCCACCCTGCAGCTGGACCTAGGCCCGTCCATCTCCTGGCAAGGTGAGAGTCAACCCTACCTTTAGAATACCAGACCTGAGATAGATGGACTGTGGGTCTGTGGGAGGGAGCAGAGCACAGAGATAGAGGGGGACCCAAAGGTGGGGAAAGGGCCGGAGGTGGGAAGAGAGAGTCCAGTGCTGTGACAGTGCTGGGGTAGGGTCAGTGGAGAGATTGAGAGGCCAGGGCAGAGTGTAGGTAGGGCCCAGGCCTGGGATCCTCGAAGCACAGGCTGGAGCTCCTCTCAGCCGTTGCATCTCTTGCTGCAACCCTCAGCCCATCCCTTTCATCCTACTTCCTCCCCAACCCCGGGCTTAGGTCCTTCACCAAATGACTCCGGCACAACCCGGGCTCAGGCCTGAGATTTGACTTCCAGAAGCCCCTGACACCCCCTCCGCACACCTCAGTGTTCTTACCTCCCGGCGCTGGAGCCTGCTCTGGGAGCTGGAGTGGCCACACTTCTGTCCAGGCAATGCCAAAGAGAGCCAGGAGCATGGACAGGAGGCCCATCCGATGGCCCTGGCCTCCCGGCCCTGGGAAGGACGCCAGCTGAGGCATGGGCCTGTGAGGCACTGCAGAGACAGCCTGGCCCAGTCGTCCAGCTCCTCCCTGAGGTGGATGAAGCTATTCACAAACCCAAGGAGTCAAGCTGGGCTGGCAGACAAAAGGGGGAGGCCGGTGAGTACTCAGTGTGTCCAAACAGCCTCGCGTCCTCTGTGCTCCACACCAGATTGAAAAGAGACAGCACCCCAGGATGCCTCCATTGTTGGCCTCCTCCCAGCCTGGCCAGCCTGCCCCACAGCAGCAGGCAGAGCAGTGTGCACTGACCTCGCGGCCCCTGCTAATCATTGCAGGATTATTGGCACCCTCAGGGAGCCCTCGGAGACCCTGCTGATTGGCTTGCAGACATTCCAGGGCTGGGGATTAGTGGCCGTTGGCTGTACCCAGGCTGGGATAATGTCCTCCAGGCCCATGGGCAGCTTCCACTCCCAAGCCTCTGGCCCAGATGAGGAGGCTGGGGCTTCAGCTGTGTGTCCTGTGGGGCAGACAGGAACTGGGCAAAACCCCATGAGAATTGTCTCCTTTCTTTGGAAACTCATCCCAACCCCCAGCCATGAATTAAACATAGGCAGGAGGTAACCACACACCAGACAGGTGCTACCAATGGGCTCTTAGGAGAGCAGGCTGAACCTGCACCTTTGGGAGGAAAAGGGTGTCTTACAAAAGTATTTCTGGGCATCGTAGGGGGCTGAGACCAGCCCTGGTGTCTGCACCCTCTCCCACATGACTTCAGGCCAGGAGAGGGCAAGACGGATGGGCAGAAGGGTATGTGATGGATGGCCTTGGCTTGCTGCCTTTGGACACCCAGGCCATGGGCCAGCAGAGTCCCCTGGTAACCGGAGAGCAGTTCTGCACCACGGCCCGCGTTCCTTAGAGAATTAAGTGCTGTCTTGCAGGCCGCAGCAATCCCAACGCACAGCCTCGAGGACCAACCACTTCTTTCTGGGGTTTGGGGGACTCCTGGCCCCTGAGCCAGCACCCTCTCAGGGCTGGAGGCCAACTCCATGGAAACGCTGCTGAGATGCAAGTGGGCTGGACTTTCTGGGGAACACTGCTGGGGAATAATGCTGGGTATCAAGCAGTGGGGACAGAGATAAGCACAGGGACCCCAAGGCTCACCTCAGACTCAGTACATTCAGGCCCCAGCAGTGCTGAAGAGCCCCTGTTTGGTTGTTTATTTGAGACAGGGTCTAGCTATGCTGTGCAGGCTGGCCTTGAGCTCATTCTATATCTCAGGCTGCCCTCAAACTTGCAGCAGGCTTCCTGCTTCAGCCTCCCAAGTGCTGGGATTACAGGCATGTAGAGCTTACAAGCCAAGTTCACGCATGGGGGGTTTGTTCATTGGTACACTGATCTGTGTAGTAGCAGGTGTGAACCATGATGCCTACTTGGTGAATATGAGGAAACTTGGGTTCAGTCTGTCTCAAGGACTTGTCCAAGGTCACCCAGTCAGGACACAGTGCACCTCAGCTAATTCAGAATGTCTGCCATCATCTTCCTGGTGCTTTAATTCATATTGTGGATTTTTCTGAGCGCAGTTTTTTTTTTTTTTTTTTTTTGCAGAACCGGGGATTGAACTCAGATCCTTGCCTTTGCCAGTCAAGCACTTATCCTACTGAGCCATCTCCCGGCCCTTAATGGCAGAAGTGTTTTTTTGTTTTTTTTTTTTTTTTTTTTTTTTTGCTCCGAATGCCTTCAAGGCATGACTGGCTGTCTTGTGTTGTGGGGATCGAACCACAGCAACCTGAGCCTGACTGCTTTGTTGAAGCAGCCACTTAAAGAACTGAGCT